GGGAGGTTTGCAATAACCAGTGTTTCCCTCCCTTGACTCAGCCAGAGGTTCAGGATTAAGAGGATTGAATCAACTTAATTTATATAGTAGAAATGAAAAAAGAGCAACATATACAATGGAGTTAGATTCAGGAGAATTGTCAATACTGAGAATCAGAAAGGACTGAACTGCAAAATATATCAAGGATGAATTGTGGAATATCAATCCATATTGGTGCCTTGAAATACATTTCAAGTTTTTTAAAAAGTACCCAGTTTCATCTACTGACCATAGATTGTTTTTTTTTCTTCCTACCAAACTGCTAACCAGTTTTCACACTACTTAGGCCAGGGTTGGTCCTGAGCTTCCAAAGGAGATTTATTGGCTGTTCCTGTTACAGAAATTCAACTTTCTGTCATAAACTCGTAAATTACTACAGCTTCTCTGATGAGAAGGTTCTTGTTTGGCATCAGATTCACTTCCTCTCACTGTGTCTCTTGCACAGTAATAAACTGCCGTGTCCTCCACTTTAAGATTGTTCATTTGCAAATGCACCTGGCTGCGGGAATCATCCCTGGAGATGGTGAAACGTCCTTTGACTTTGTCTGAATAGCTAATCGGAGATGAGGATTGTTGTGAATCAATAAAAGTGAATAACCTAAATGCAAATTAGGGGTTGAAAACCTGCACACCTGATTGGTCCTTATACAACAACTTGGGATTGGGCCAAAACCGGTCCCTGATTGGTCACTTTTGGGACTGTCCTTATTGGTTAGTAGTTGGAACCTGTTGTGCATTTTCATTGGTTAATAAGGCAGCAGCTAACCCTATAAAAGGGTTACTGCTGCCCATAGCATTGCTCTGTTCCATTCTGATTCCTGTTATTATTAAAGAGTTGAAGTCACTGGTCAGATGTCTGGTCTCCTTATTCTCCAAACTTAACAAGGATGTTCCGATCCTTGCCACCCATTCCAGTCCTTTCCCTGGTGCCTGTCTCACCCAGTACATGTAATAGCTGCTGAAGGTGAACCCAGAGGCTTGGCAAGAGAGACGGAGGGATTCCCCAGATCTTCTCACATCCCCTCCAGACTCCACCAACTGGACTTGAGACTTGG